CAGCTGGTGCCTTCCAACCCTCAACCCTTCTGCTTTTCTTATTAGCTGCTAGTACTACCCCCGAACATGGTTCCCTAAATGTGTCCAGCACCACCCCATATTCTTTGGGCCATTTTGCCTTTGCCCAGGTTGCCACCCTCAACTTACTTAACTCAAAAACCTGATCCCAATCCCTGTTATCGATAATTTTGAGATTTATGAGGTGATATACTATGTTTCTTGTTGATGCTTAAGACTATTGATTTACATCTTGGTTGTAAGCAATCTTGTTTGTAAATGTTTGTTGCCAGTAGGTCCTTTTAACTATAAATTGAAATTGGGAGTTCAGAAAGTTCTCTGTTATGAAATTAAGTCGATTTCTTGTCTTGTAGCTTCTTATTCAATTTTATTAGTTTATGTCTCTTTACACTTGTTGTTGTCTTTTGTAGGTTGAGGATACTTTTCTGAAATTCAAAAGCTTGCACAAAAAATTCACAATCATACCTTCATCTGCATCATATGAGATGCTCATTACCTATTGCTGTGATTTCCACAAGGTATGACCAAATTTTTTCAGTAAAAGAAGCAAAAAGACCAAATTTTAAGTCTTTTAGGACAAGAGTGTCAGTTAAATTGCTGTAATGCGATTGCCTCTTTCATTTAGTACTAAATAACTTTATAAATAACATTTTGATGGTAAAGTCTTGTGGGATTTGTACCTGGGTTTTGTAAGGTCCTAACTAGAGATAGGGGAGCTTTAAGGGATGGGTTAGGTGACTTCCTATTGTATGGCCAAATCTTTGGGCCCTAGAAAAGAAGATAAAGCTGTTATTTTATGCATTTTAACATAATTAATGTTTCATTTATTGTATTGCAGGTGCATGTCGCTCTTGACATGGTCAATGAGATGTGTGAACTGGGTTTGAGCTTGTCTATAGAGATGCTGCATCGCATATCGCATGCTTGTGAGGAGAGCTATGAGTTTCATTTGGTATGGTATATCAAACATTCAAACTCTATTCTACTTGATGTTTTTCTTTAAGTACCGCCCCCCCCCCCCAACACACACCACACACTGTTAGTCTCATAGGTTCATTCATCAAATATATTTACTTGATAAAAATGTAATAAAGTTGTCTTATGTTTTAGTGACTTTGTTTGTTAGAATTTGATATTGCTTAAGATTAAATGGAAAGGGCTTTGATTCATTCTGAAAAATTACCCCGGGCATTGTTGTTCCATCGTATTATTCAGATTCTCTTGTTATTGATTATTTGCTAGTATGACAATTTTTGTTTATTTTGGCCCTTGTCTTTTCATTATATTTCATTGTAAGGTTCGGCAAATTTATTCAGTGATTTGCCTCCACAATTTGAAGCCAAACAGTGAGACCTTCAGGAGAATGATAAGTTTGAGTGTGAAAATGAAAGATGTAAGTTGCAATCCGGTTCCCCTCTTTCTGTTGTCTCTCTCGCATGCAAGCGTGTGCTGTATGTCAATGTTTTACTTTCATTCTATTTCTACACTGTCCTGTACCAAACTAATTTTTCCAATGGTTGAAAGCTTCATTATGTAATGTTTAATATTCTTTCTACTCAATATAGTTTGAAGGTGCATATGCAATGCTCAATGACATGAAGAAAATGAAAGTGATGCCTACTGCTAGTATTTACAATGCTATAATGGCAGGATATTTTCGAGAGGTAACTTTTTCTGCATCTTGAATGTTCTCGCTATTTTATTTCTTACTTTTTTCCTATACTTTCTAGTTTGGCAAAACTTGTATTCTTTATTACAAATTTGTAGTTTGGTCCTTGGTCTATGCATGACTGCCTGAGTTAGGGCACTGCTCTTACTGCCGTATGTCTCAAGGTTGTGAGAAAAGACAGTGTGAATGATAAATGGTCTTATATGTATATTCTTCTCTTGCATTGCCCATTTGTTACGTAGTTAAGTCGTGGCCTTTTCACGGATGGGCCATGGACCTTAATCATGAGATGTTAATGCCATCATCCAAAGATACTAGCAAAGTTGTTACGCTGACATGAAATATAAGTTCTGCAAAACTGCAAGTAAATGCAAGAAATTTTTGACAAGGAAAATTTTATGAATTCTTTGCTGCAGTGCCTTGCCCCCAGGTTTATTTTGAAGGATTAACTTAAAATTAAAGCAGTCTTTTTTTTGTCAAATATTTTCCAGAAAAAATCTAGTGCTGCATTGACTGTTCTCAAGAACATGGAATGTGAAGATATCAAACCAGATACTCAAACTTTCAGCTATCTAATAGGCAACTGTGATTGTGAAGAGGACATTTCCAAGGTAGTTTTCATTTTTATCATCTGCTCAAAGTTTCATGTTTTGCCTAGTCCCTTTTCCATCGATAAACTCACTTATGCTGTTTTCTGCAAGGCTGCTGTTTCTCTTTTAATGCAACTGATGGTTTGGCATTGAGTAACTTGTTAAAGCATCATGTCTTGTGAATTTTACTGAAACTGATAAAATAATTTGTTCATTGCTTGTAGTACTACGAAGAAATGAAAAGTGCTGGAATCCAAGTTACAAAGCATGTTTTTATGGCCCTTATAAATGCATATGCAACCTGTGGGCAATTTGAAAAGGCTAAACAGGTATGTATGCATGCAGCAGTTAGCTCCTATCAAACATCGGTTAAATGAGCACATTGAACCAAAAAGAATGTAGTTTAGGTACTGCATAACCGAAATCTTTTGTTCAAGAAGCAAATTATTATGGACTCTAGTTCAACTTTCATTATATGTATTACACTTATTTTTGTTGCCTCTGGTGATTTCAAAAGATACTTTTTATATTTTAGGTGCTCCTTGACAAAGGGATACCTTTTAAAAGCTTAAAGGAAATCAAAAGTGCACTTGCTTCAGCCCTTGCATCAAATGGGCAGATGCTTGATGCATTAAACATTTACAAAGAAATCAAGCAAGTTGGGGACACTCTGGAGCCTAAAGCTGTTATTTCTCTCATTGTAAGTTTTCTATAGTACATTTGTATTCATTTTTCTGTAACTGCAATAATGCTATATATTTTCCCTTTTATCTTTTAGGAGCATTTTAATTTTGAGCGAGAGTTGAGTACATTGCTTCAACTACTGGAAGAATTGCATGACCCAGACTATTGGGTTGATGCTTGTTGCAGAATAGTTTTGCATTGTGTTAAAATTAAGGATTTGAGGTTAGATGACACAATATTCTTTCTATTCTGGGTTGTTTTATTTACTTCACGTAATTTTCTTATTAGCTAAACTCTTTATATCTTCTTTGTTTCTTCCTTCTTTTTGTACTTTAGAAGGATTTGCATTAGTTAATCTTTGTTAATTCCTTGTTTGATTTAGATCTACAGTTGATTTGCTCAAGCAGCTTAAGGATAAGTTGCACAATGATGATTTGGGTATAGACTTTCTTTGTGATGAGGTTTGTTCCTATTCTCTCTCATAATTTTGAGTAGACTTCATGCTTGTATTGTAGTTGGCAACCTTGAATTCTTGGTAGTTGCTCTCAATCATTAGAAGTAGAAACAAAGGAAAAAAAATCTTTCTAGACTTCTAAGTCTTCTATCTCCAAATGAATTTATGAATTGTATCAAATACTAGTTGGTAAATACTTTAGGCATTTTATTTCTCTATTGCTTTTATCTATATGTTTATTTGACTTACTGCAATATTTCGAATATTAATTTTGATTCTGTCATTTATTAGCATTTTGATTGCATGTCTTTATAACTTTGTGGTTACCTTTCTTGATTGAGTAGGTATTCTCTTTGATTGCCGAAGGAGATGCTAAAGAATTATGGTTTGGCCTAGCTTTGCTTCAAGCTATAAAAGATGAAATAGGCCTTATCCCTTCACGGAAAAGTCTTGATTTTCTGCTTACGGCTTGTACAAACGCAAAGGATTCGCAGAACTCTCTTTTCATTTGGAAAGAATACCAGTTGGCTGGCCTTTCGTACAATATTTTATCATACCTAAGGTTAGTAATCCTCCCTCGGTCTCTGTTATGCATGTTCCCAGTCTTGCTAATCTTAAGGTTGGATATGGATTGTTGCATCAACAGTGTGGCTTGACGCTAGGGGTTGAGTGCAGGGGTTTAGTTTCAGGATCAGAATGAGTGGGAGATAGATCAATATGCTCCTTCTGATAGATTGAATTGTTGGGTTTTCTTGCAGGATGTATCAAGCCCTTTTGGCATGTGGAGATCTCAAGTCTGCAAATATTATGCTAACTAAAATTCCGACTGATGATCCTCATATTCGACTTATTATCAAAGCATATCAAACAACTTATGTTCAGTCTACCTCAAGTAAGACAAAGAAGAAAATGCAGAAGAGGAAGGGAGCATGAGATACAATCTAACAATAATAGAGTAGGAACTAACGGATACAATCTGACAAGAATTGAGTAGGAACTAAGGGATACAATCTAACAAGAATGGAGTAGGAACTGGGAGCTTTGAAATCAATAAATCTGGTCTGTGAATATCCTTTCTTGGTTAAAAATTTGTCTGTAAAAAATCTCCTTGATTAATGCCATGATGCTTCTATAATTATTAAGGTTTATCTATATTATAAGATAATATCAGAGCATATTTTAAGTTCATCTTACTTATCGTACGTTCTTTATCTATTTTGTAGACATGGGTATGTTAGAAATAGATGAATTGCCTTCTAGGGAGGAAAAAGTTTGCAACGCAGGGGCTAACAGAGCACCCAAACTTGTTCTTCGAAACTACAGGTAATAACGACAATAAAATAAGAAAGGATACTGCCCGCAGCACCTTGTCGAGTGCTCTGCAGCCTAGGACGTGTCCGAGCATAAAGAATAAAAAATATGATAACTCAATACAAGAGTTGCAATACTGAGTCAAGGTAAAATTTTTTTTTTTTGAAAGGTGATTTCATTGATTGAAATGGAAGCATAGCTCCCAGATAGTAACAAAAATGGTTTGAGACTACTATGCCTTAGAAAGAGACACAATAATCTCGGACCACCTAACCAATCAAATAAGACAAATAGCTCCATTCATCACCCAACATTAACAAGAAGAAACCAGAATCCCTATTTCTATGCTCAGCACTATTTAAATTGTCAAAAAACCCCAGTACACAGAAAACACCTGCACACAGCAATCCCCTCAACCTCCATAATGGAACTAAGGCATTCCCTTGACTTTGTCTCTTCAGAGTTTCCTTCATTTTCAGAGAATCTCCACATCAAACGAGGTAAACATTTAAAAATAATTACGCAGCCTTTCACCAAATATCTTCATCAACCCAACCGTGAACAAAAGAGAATTGTCTTCAACTATATTTCGTCGTCGAGAGCGTTCCAACACAAGAAAAAAAGTAGGTGAAACTATGTAAACCAAGAAAGGAAGAGTACCACCAATCACACAAACTAATATAGCCAGCCATAGTATCTCCTGCAACACAACAAACAATCCGGTCACAAATGCCACTGCTAAAGCTACGAGTGAAATCCAAGTTAAGGCAATTGCCAAAGGAAGCATGTCCATGAAGGATTCAGTGTCACGCAATGAAGATGACCACAACATAATAACTGCAGCAGTAAGGGATGAACTCATGGCAATGCTATCAGAGATAATAAAGGCTTTGAAAGCTGATTTAGTAATTAAAGTTGCCATCCCTTTGTGTGCACCATCACTTTGAAAACCTCCAGGAAGTGTAAATGCTGCAGTAAATGTGAACGTGGCTATAACAGTTGACATCACAGTTATTGTTCGAGCTATTTCCCTGCTCTTTTCACCACTTTTATTTGACTTTTCTACCTCGACTTCATCAAATTGTGTGTCTTCAGCCAAATCTTCAGGGTTAATGGCTTTGTTTTTGTAGGCAGCCTTTAATATTTTCAAAGTTAAATGCTGCAAAGAACACAAAAACAATTTAAAACTCAAATATATTCATGAAATCAATTTCATCTTGTGAAAAAGAAAAGATGGACATTATATAGATAGTAAAGTATCTTCTAAAAAGGTTTCTCAAGAGCCAGCCCGCAAATTTCTTATTGCCATATCTTATTCTATACCAGATACTGATGGTCATGCATCTAAAAATATAGACAGTGCAAATGGGGTTGCAGTGGCAAATATAGGTCCGAACTGATATCTATATTCTATGCAGTCTCATGATGCTCAAGTGCCTCCAGTCGTCGGGAACCATGTGGGTTAGCTATGAATAAAATTATAATGAAAAATTTTGATACAGCGGCATTTGGTGTTCGTAGAACTTTCTATCGTGATGCTGTCTATGGCAGTGTAAATAAGGGAACATATTTCTGTATAGACCATATTGTGATGAAAGTGAAAGATGTATTTTCTTTATTTGACAAAAAAAAAAAAAGAATTTCATCTCTGAAATTATTGAAACATATTAAAATAACTTTAAACAAAATTAAGTACCTTCTCTAGTTCCATTCCACGGTTTTCAGGCATTCTAACAATTGCCAAAGCAGTATTCCCAGAATAGTTGAGTGCCCTGATTTCAACTTTTGAATTCTTGGTGAGAATACCGACCACATTGCTGTGGTAGTTGCTGGCCGCCAGATGCAAGGGAGTGTTTCCATCCACGTCGGGAGAGTTGACTAAATCTTCCATCTCAGGTAACTTCAAAATATATGACACCACTTTTACATTTCCATTCTTAGCTGCAATATGGAGAATATTTTGCTGCTTGTTGTCAACTTTCTCGACAATGTCTGGGGAATGCTTTAGCAATGTTTCTATCAGACGTGCATGCCCATTCTCTGCTGCCAAGTGGAGAGGTATTTGTTTATTTACGTCTTCTGCGAATGCAACCGAAGGGTCTTTCTCGATTAACTCCTCCACCATTCTTTGGTGACCCAAGGCTGCAGCATAGTGAAGGGGAGTCCTATTTCTATTGTCTGAGTCTCTAACAGAGTCGTTTCTCAAACCAATGATGATATTCATGATACCTAAATTTCATAGAAAAAAAAAATACTTTAATTAGTTGGGTTAAGTATACTGGAGAAAGAGTAATAAAAGACGTAAACGTTTAGGAGCTCACCAAAATCTTGCCTCATGACAGCATAATGCAAAGGTTTTTGGCCGTTGTCACCAAGGTACCCAAGCGTAGATTGATTCAAAGTGATGATTTTTGCAGCAATATTTGTCAATCTCAAATCAATAGCAATCGAAAGTGGGGTTTCGCTTGCCGCATTAGATTTGAGTAACGACTCCAGATTTCTTTGCGTCAACGCATTCAGTATCTTAAAATGCCCATTCCTAACAGCACCATGTAAAGGCGTATCACCGAACCTATCTGTGTCACTACAGATGTCTACCTCTGGAGAATCTTTCACTGCATTTATAAAAATTTCAAAAACTTCATGTCTTCCGGCCCTCGCCGCCAAATGCACCGGCGTCTCTCCATTGAGATTGGATTTAGACATAAGAGAAGGACGCTTCTTGATAATCTCTTCCGCTAAATGCTTGTGTCCGAATCTTGCAACTATGTGAAGTGCAGTGTTTCCTACCGGAGTTGTTTGCTCGAGAATGTTCCCTTCACTATCTCCAATCATTCGGTTGAGTGTGTCTAAGAAACCCCACCTTGCTGCACTGAATAAATCTGGATTCATGATTAAAAAGCGAAATGGAGGAGAGAAACTTGAAAGAGAAAATGGAGCGAGGAAAAAGTTTGCAAAGCAGGGGCTAACAGAGCACCCAAACTCGTTCTTCGTTCATTCATATATGGCGAGATGAGGTCGGTTTTATAGCATGGCAAATCAATACGGTCCACGTAGTGAGAGAAACTACAGGTAGTAACGACAATAAAATAAAAAAGAAGGACACTGCGCGCAGCACCTTGTCGGGTGCTCTGCAGCCTAGGACGTGTCCCAACATAAAGAATAAAAAATATGACACTTTTGTCCTGTATTTTTGAACCTGGTTTGCAATCCAAATATTGATATCTTTTTTTTTTTTTTTAATTTTCAATATCTTATATTGTTTTGCAGTTTTTAGAGAAGGAAAATGCTCGCTTGGAATTGGATATGGAAGACATTTTAGCTCAATTAAACTGTCAGAAAGATCATAACTCTTTGATGCAAGATAAAGTTGCAGAGTTAGAAATGAATTTAGAACAGAGAAAGGTAGCTTTCTTTGATCAAAATTTTTTGTGGCTGTTTTTCTACTTATTTATAGGTTATATGATCCAAGCAAGTCTCTGCAATGTTTGGTAAATAAACTAAGAATTTTCTTGTTGATAGCATTCCAGTGGATCTCTTATTCTATAAAAGCCTTTTTCATAATATTATGGTCTTTAAGAGTAGCCTTACTTCAACTTTGTATGTAGAATCTTGATTAGTGCTGGATGCGAACAACATTTGATTTAGGAATGAATCATGATTATACTGTCTCACATCGCAATACTGAGTCAAGGTAATTTTTTTAACACTTACCATAATTAAGAAATATATATCAGTTGTCAAATTTTGATTTTCATTTTGAAAGCTACATAATTTTATGAATATATAAGAGTCAATTATACAGCAAACCATTGCAGTAGTAGCCCAGCACTTATGCCTATTTGCCCTGTTACCGTTACGGCATGATATGGCTCCATGCATGCTTAAACAAAGCAGTGCCTCAGACAAGCCGCAGGAAGAAAGCTGGAGTAAACAGTAGATATTTGAATTTGGAGATAACAATGTCACGTTAAGGGGAGGAGTTGAGTGTCCACGAAGATTTGCACAAATATAGTAAAAATGGCTCTGGGGAGAAAAAAAAGGCTAAAAACTAACTTTGTACGCGAGGTGCTGCAGCGGTACAAAGACCGTGGAAGAGAGAGAAAATGGGGAAGGAGACAAGGGTTTTATAAAAAGAGTTGGAAGAGGGGATTTGATTGGATGCTTCCTAATGTTTTGGAGCAAATCAAATATTACTGATTTATCCTAATGCCAGACAAAAGGAGTATATGCAGGAAAACATTTCAGACTTAAAATATTGAATTTTTTTTAATCATGATAATAGTTTTAAAAATAAGTCTATAAAATAATTTTATTATATAATTTTGACAGTAGGAGATAATTTAAAAATCGAAGTGGTTGAAGTCAAGAAGGAAAGTTATACTTTTAGAGTTTGGAAGACACTCAAAGGTTAAAAAAACCAAATCAAACTCAACAATTAATTCGCTTCCTTGATCTCTTAAATTTTCCTCTCTAATTGTTAAAGAACTATCTACGCATATGCAAGGTACCCCATATTTTTTTCTTTGGCTTCTTTACTGCTTTATATTATGCTATAGCTCTTCTTATTTTGAATTAATTTTAATATTTTGGCTTTAAATTTGGATGAAATTGCTTCTGTAGAGATTTATCAACTGTAATTGATGCTGAATATATCTTATCTTTGGCTCTTAACCTAGCACAAGTATAATTTTCGCATGATTTTACAGTTGTATTGCATTAAGCTTGATCTTATATATAGTTAAATGGAATTAAAACTTTGATCATATGCATTCCATGATTTGGGCATCTGTTATTTGATGATTTGCTTTATAATAAAAATTTTTCACAAACTAGTGAAAGTTACAAATAGATGAATTGCCCTAACAAGTGCATTGTTGATCTTTAATATCATTGTTAATCACGAAGGATTAATTTCAATATCAATAAATGAACATACATGTGTTTTTCTTGTTGTCATGAATATTTTACAATTTGATATTACGCTATAATCTCTATAGTTATGTTGACAATTTCAAGTCTTAGCATGTATATATATATATATATATATCAAGAATCGATTTTTTTTTCTTTCAGGTGAGATAAAGAGAATACACAACATGGATTCTTTTACTTTGTCAACTAAATCGATTACTCAAAATCGATTTAGTGAATTTCCTGATGAACTTGTTGATCAAATTTTTTCTTATCTTCCACCAAAGGATGTAGTAAGAACTTGTGCATTATCGAAAAGATGGCGATGCTGGTGGACTTCTTTTAACTTTATTAGTTTTGATTTCGATCCATGGAATGAGGAGGAGGAGCAGGGAGCTCGTTTCTTGGATATGATTAAGAGAGAGCTGCTCATTCCTGACAATGAATACACAAGAATATTTCGTCTACACTTGGATATACATGGCCCTTTTTATACTTATTCCAACATCATGGTGTCAATGTCATTGGTATCTAAAGTAGCGAAGCATCAAATTGAAGACCTGGGCCTTTCTCTTCGGCATATTTGGGGGTCCAATGCGTTGTCCTTGATCACTTCTTTGAAGTTACATATGACTCCTAATGCTGCTCCCATAAATAACATTCCGACTTCG